TTAAACCTTGAACCGATGTGTAACTCAAATATTAATACTCTCACATCACAAAATATAAGCACCAAAACAGCAAAGCGCCAAACAAGAAAACAAGAGACACCACATCAAACCAAAACACCCCTATTAACTCCATCAAACCCAAACCACCCCACATACAAACTCAATAAAACCCAAACCATAAAGAGAGAATTGCATTAAGGGAATGATCTGGCCCAATATAAGAGCTATAAACTTGAGCCCAAACCCAGCAGAAGTACCTCATTATCTGGGCTGCCCATTATTTTTGCCTTTTCTTTTCTTGACTGAAAGTTGTCCTTGTCCACATAAGGTTCATGAAAAATGTAGCAATACAGCTCAAATTCCTATCCACAGAATCTGCAACAACAGAATTTGCACTTGTCTACTATCAGCAGCCAATCAAATTATGCTTCCTATCAAAATTCCCACCATTACTTTCTCCAGCCAGCACAAAACACAAACAAAAACAACAACAAAAAAACTCAAAAAGAATTGTTTCTGGGTTTACTTTAGAGAAGAGAGAAACACAAAGCTCCTCCCACTTGGCACAATTGGCCTAGTCAGTGCCACACTCTCATTCAATGGTGGGTGCATTCTCAGCCCAAACCCAAGGTCTCAAGCCAACAACAACACCAGCAACCACTGCTCTGTTCAACCCATCTCTCTCATCATCATCTGAACTGCTTTCAACTTCTCATCTATCACTCTTCAAGGTGCTACTCAGTTTTACACTCATTTTCATTTTCTGTACTTTTGGTGATGGGGTTTTGCTTTTTAGCTTATTTATTACTTTTGGAATTTATTTTTTCTTTTAGAATTCCACTTCAATTGCCTGTGGATTTTCTTCAAAGCAAGCTTCTTTTATCAGAGGTCAATTCTGTAGCAGACACTTTCTTGGGTTTGATTACAATCTTGCTCGAAGAAAACAAGCAGGTATCTGTGAGAATTTATCAATTTCTATTCTTGTCTTGTTTATGAGGCAATTACCCCTTCCACCCTTATAATTTGAATCAAAATGTAATTTAGCTTCTAAAGTTTCAATTTGATCAATGTATGTATTAACTATTCATGTTTTTCACTACAGTTAAGTCTATTGATTAAACGTTGTTTTAATCAATGGGGAAGGGAGATTCGAACTTCGGAGATCTTCCAACATTGGAAAGAGAAATACCATTAGACTAATAGCTAGTTTGTTGTTCTATTCATTATACCTACTATAAAACAATTGTTTGCCCGCATCCTAAAAACTTCAACTTTTGAGAATAGTGGTAAACGAACAAAATTAATCACATTATTTGGTAACATAGTAGGAGATCCTGAGTTAAACTTGCTATTACATCCTTAGAATTAAGTCAAATTCCATGTGTTGGTTCTAACGGTGAAGAGAAACTTACATGTGAGGGAGAGTTTAAAATAAAAAATAATTATGTCTGCATCCCAATACCTTAAGCTTTTGGGATGGATATCAAATGATATCCACGTGGCTGCCGTTGATCCATTTTAAGTTTATGTGGCCACTACTTTAGCCATTTTTAGAGTAGAATTCAAATGAAACTTATTTCGTGCTCAAAATATCCAACTATGGTCGCATAAACTTAGATGGGTCAAATGGGGCCACGTCGGCTCAATGGTGGTCACATGGCAAATGTGAAAACATTAGGATCTACTTTGACATATTTAACTTTAGCTTCAATTATAGGAATGAATTTACCCTTATCTATTTAAATAACAAATACAATGTTGGCAACTCTTTAGAAATGTCCTACCAACTGGTGTGGTTGGTTTACCTTTCATCTCATTAATAATTCAAGATTCTTCAGAAGCAATTGAATTAGCACTATGTATCATTACTAGAATCAGATAAGGCTTCTTTCATGGGAGTTACAGCATCAAACATAACATTTAGGTTTTAACACTCTGTTCTCCACCTCATTTCTCCAACAAATAATGGTGCTTCAGTAAAGTTTAATAGCCGCATTTGATTCAAGCATTCAAAATCATGGGATTTAAATTTAGTATTTGTATATATTACCAGGAGGAACATTTAAGTTGCAAAAGTAAAATGATAGAGAATAAAGCTCTTGCTCTCATTTGGGAATTTGTTTGAAATGCTTTTTCCACTTATTAATTTAAATCCTCCTCTGTTACATGTGCATGTATAGAAGTAGGTTGAATATGTCTTTGGGACAGTTTAGAAGTTTTTGTAGGTGTGTTTAGTCTATGAAGTCTTCCTTTCATTTTGGGTTTGTTATTAGCAGCAATTATGAGTCATCATGCTGTTATGTCAGTTAGGCAACTGACAACGGCGCAGATGCAGGACAGGGAAGTAAGGGTCTTTGTTTTGATTGTGATGAAAACTACAGGCCTAGACAAATGTCAAAGTAACTGTTCATGATTGCACCATGCTTGGAGGGAGAGGACGGGGGTAAGTCCATGGAACAAGAAAATGGGTCTCCAAATAAAACCCTTGACAAAACAAGGGCAACGTTAAAAGGGAAGGAATTGTTCACACTATGTGATTGTGAATAGTTTCTTACAACGATGTCTTGCCTTGCATTTCTTCATCACAATTGAGACAACAATCCTTACTTCTCTCCTGTATCTGTAATGCTGTCATATGTCTCACTAGAAATTTTTCTGTGAACGTATTTGTTTGCCCATCAGATTTGATGCAAGTGATGGCATCCATCTCTTGTTCACATCAAATTGGGATCTAATTAAATGAGTTTTCATATAGGATTGTGATTTTGATTTTACTTCTTTTGATTTCTTAACAATGCAGGGTATGTTGTTTCACCATACTGCGTCCTTCCGTTAACCGAAGAAAATGTAGAGAAGGTCTTGGATGAGGTACGACCTGGCTTGATGGCTGATGGTGGGAATGTGGCACTACATGAGATAGATGGCCTTGTTGTGGTATTAAAACTGCAAGGAGCTTGTGGGTCATGTCCAAGCTCAACAATGACACTAAAGATGGGAATTGAGACCCGCCTGCGAGATAAAATACCTGAGATTATGGAAGTAGAACAGATTCTGGACAGAGAGACGGGTCTTGAGCTAAATGAGGAAAATGTAGAAAAGGTTAGAGAAATCATCATCTCCAACTAAATAAAATTTATTTATTTAATTTACACATTAGTTCTATGAAATTGTTTTACATTCTAATGTCATAGTGCTGATATGTCTCAAGTAATTAGTCTGAAGTTAAATGATATCATTACTCTTAACCAATTTCCATGTCGAAATGAAATTATAGGAACACTTTAAGTGATAAATTGAGGTCTATTTTGTGCTAAATGAAATTGATTATTTTTATGATCAAGGGAGGCACTGCTCTCCAACTGCTGGTGAATAAGAAATATTGCAGAATGAATTATAAATCTCAAAAAACTCCATTTTGCTGCTATTATGGAGAGAGAGAAAACCCTCATCAACAGTCACAACTTTGCAAGTTCCTGTACTAAGAATGGAACTTGGAAACTGCAGTGTAATTTTTACAGCTTATACAAATGTACTAGAAAATATTTGATTTTGGAATTCATCTTGAACATCTTTGTTTTTTTTTCTTTCTTTAATCCGCGTTTTCTCATTTAGTACTGTCTTAGTACCAACAGCTGGTGATTATAAAAGCAACAATTTTTCGATCAACTTTGTACAATTCTCAGTTTCAATGAAGCCTTAGTGCCTCCTTACCCACAAACTAGCTAATCTAGTAGAGTAGAGAACATGTTGAAGAGACTGACTTTGGTTATCTCCTTAACCCTTTTATTACTTATTTCATTATATGAAATGCAAGCTCATTGCTTCCTTAAATATCTATGTGACATAATAAATTCATTTCCAGTTAGGGGTTTCGATAAACTTTCGTCATTTCATGTAATTATGACAACCTCATACATAATGAGTGCTCTACTTTACTAGATGGAGCTACATTCATTTTCAGGTTCTTTCTGAGATTAGACCATATCTTGCTGGCACAGGAGGTGGGATCCTGGAGCTTGTACAGATCGATGACTACGTCGTCAAAGTTCGGTTAAGTGGACCAGCAGCCGGGGTCATGACAGTTCGTGTTGCTCTAACACAAAAACTGAGGGAAAAAATACCCGTTATTGCAGCTGTTCAGTTGATAGAATGATATATACCATCAAAAGTAAATCTATTGTGAATGTATGATGCAGAGAATGGAAAAATTGTTCGGCCAGTTTTCATTGAATTATACTCATCAACGCCTGAAAATATATGGTTCCTCATTACATTGCAAGCTTCTTTGTAACCTACACGAAAAAACATTGCAAGTCTTATATAACTTGTTTTCCACTTGTAGAGATTATGCCTCCCTTGCGAACTGCCTTGATTAGCCAAGTCCATTCATTGACTAATTATTTGATATTAAGTTAATTAATTAAAATCAAATACACTCATGGTTAAACATAATTAGATTTCCCTCTTCCCTAATATCGTTTGTATAAAAAAATTCAAATATTAACTTTGTAATGTTTCATCTTCGTCTCCTCTCCTTGCTCCCCTCCCCTCCCCTCCATCTCCTGCTCGCTAAACATCTCAATACACCAGCTTCCGGAGATGATTTTTTCCCCGCACCACCAAAAACTAGTGTTCCCTACCCTCTCCTCTCTCTCTTTCTTTTACTCTTAGTGAAATGCTTAGATCACAGGTACATTATTTAATTGCATGTTTTTGTACTGGAACTTTGCACAGCTATGTTACATTGCATAATGCTATTCTACAATAAAACAGGGTGGCTACTCAAAATGTCTTGTAGCCACCAAAACAAAGCATATATTCTTCAGTTGTCTGTTAATAGTAATCATCATCTTCGTCTTCGTCTCTTGATCCAGTGAAAAACATCTCAATACGCCAGCTTCAGGAGATGATTTTTTCCCCGCACCACCAAAAACTAGTGTTCCCTACCCTCTCCGCTCTCTCTTTCTTTTACTCTTAGTGAAATGCTTAGATCACAGGTACATTATTTAAATGCATGTTTTTGTACTGGAACTTTGCACAGCTATGTTACATTGCATAATGCTATTCTACAATAAAACAGGGTGGCTACTCAAAATGTCTTGTAGCCACCAAAACAAAGCATATATTCTTCAGTTGTCTGTTAATAGTAATCATCATCTTCGTCTTCGTCTCTTGATCCAGTGAATCTCCTTGCAACAGCAGCAGCAGCACCAAGAAACGCAAAGAAAACTAAGAGTTGGAAACCACCACCAATGCCGACGGCAACACTAGGACCTGGGGCGAAAAATGAAAATGGCGACCAACCCCAGCCTCCAAAGAATGGTACTCCGTAACCGTATCCATAACCACCAACTAAAGGTGGGGCTACTGGAGGATTGATATAAATATTGGTCCTACAAAAGAAACATAGATTAACATTCTTTAGAAATAAACTTAAAGCACATTACACATGACATTCATCAATCTAACAATAGTTCCATAGAAGATAAGTCATGTATGAGAAGTAAAAAATATGTGAGAAGACAAGTCTTCTTAAAGAGACATACATTGAGTGCTCATACATTCGTCCACAACTCGTGTGAGGGTCCTGTAAGCTTGGTATACATTATTGTCGTATTCTCTAATGGATCTATTGGTTCTCTAACATGGTATCGAAGCCTTGTTTACAAGAGGTACTAGGTTCATGGTTGTCTAACAAGCAAGTGGCGGATCTAGGAAGGAACGTGTAAAAATTACCAAAAAAAATTCGACGAAAAATACCTTAAAAAAATCAAACAATACCACTCATTCAATATTCACAGTAAAAAGATTTGTTCATTTGGGAAAAAAAGAAAAACAACTGAACTAGAAGAGATTAAGAGGAGGCCCTTCTGATACAGGGATATATACTTCAGTCCAGCAGTTAAAAGTTGTCTGAATGAAGCAACGAAGCGATCGAAACCCTTGTATTCTCTAGTAGAAAAAGAACTTGTTTCCTAATTGATCTATAGCTTAAGGTCACTAGAATTTGAAACTTCTATATATTGCTTTGAAAAAGAACAATATAAAACAAAGTAGCAATACATAAATAAACTTATGAATACAAAACTAGCTATTATAAAATTAGCACAAATGTTTTCTGGGGTAGACATTTCCAGCTAAAAAAAAAGATGCAAATTTGTTCAATTGAACTCCCAATAACATCAAGCCCATCATTAAACCATGCTACAACAACCAGTCTACTAATCAACACCAGGAAGTAACCTTTTATCCCAAACCAACAATCCATTTCAATTATTGAGTTGAAACAAGCAAATTCAAACTTCTTAGTACCTTGAATTATTGTTGATCCTAGGGGATGAAGACCGAGGAGGAGCCGAAGGCCGGAAGGCCTGGCCCCCAACTCTACCACCAGTCTTGGCAGCTGATGCATCATGAACTGAGCTCAATGTCAACACCCCAGCTGCCAGTGTCACCATTGCCAACTTCGCAAATTTGTTCTCATTCTTTCTAAGAAATCCATCATCACTATATTACACACAAGGGTATCTCAGAAACCCATCACCACAAAAAGAATCAAGCTTGAAAAAGAAAAAAACCAGTTCAAGAAACCAACCTATTAGATTAGTACCTGGAATAGCCTTTGTGGTCATCTGTTGATGAGTAGCTTCTTTTGCATGAGATGGTAGTGTTAGCCGCAGAAGTGAGAATCTTGGTTTTGGGTTTGTGGGTTGGTGGTGTGAGAGCGTTGGCAAGAAAGCTCTGTTGGGATGAGGCCACCGAAGCTGCCATGCTTACTTCTTTATGAATTTTGTGTAGATCTTTTCTCTAAAGTTGCTGCAAGACATGATGACACAAAACCTTTTTTCAGAATCATTTATGATTCTGAGATTCCCACGTGTCGTGATATAAATGGTTGATACCACAAGTAATGTTCGATTTCTCACTGAATATGTTTTGGGCCTTCACGTACTGTATATCATCTTAAGATTATAACCCATTCTGACCAAGCATAAGAAAATAAATAATAAGATGAGAAAGTTGATGATACTACTCAAATATCAAGCCAACCCAAGATTCAGTCCACCCACAAACCACTTGAAAGTTGAAGGCCCATTGATAGATGCGGTTCTCACCCGATTTGGCATTGCCCACCTAATTGGAGATGAGTGATTCCCAATCTGATGGCCTGCGACATTGTCGATGTCAAAATAGAGAGAGTTGGAGTACCATTTGAGTAAATAATTTAGAAGTGCAATTATTGATGGAGGAGAAAGTGAAAGAAAGTGGTGGTAGTTATGGGAGAGAAAACGAGATTGGTGGAAATTATTGATGAGCAAAAGAGTGGTGAGAAAATTGTGGAAATACTTTTATTTTATCAAACTAAATTCTAATAACTTGTGTACCCTTATTATGCGTGTTTAATAAGGGAAAATTGATAAAATATGGATATAGGAGGTATTATCTTACAAAGGTTTACAAAACTTATTGGATTTGTTTTCTAGCTTGATAATTGGATATCAGAAAAGATGAAATCCTAAGGAATTCTCTCAAAAAAAAAGAAAAAAAAAGCCTTAGGAACTTAGCTCCAGTCGCCGCCCCTCTTTGGGTGTGGTGGCCTCCTTCCCCACCCCTCTCATCACCTACCTTTCCCTCCCCTTTTCCTTCCTCTCCTTCTCTACCCATCCCTTCCCTCCCCTTTCGCCCTTCCTCTCTTCCCTGTTCCTCCCCTCTCTCTTAGGGTTGTTTACCAGCTTTTTGGCTGGATTTCTATTTGGTTGTGCTGGTGATTTTGTTGTCAGCTCTTGTGGTATTACTATCGTTGGAATCTTTCATGCGTTGGGTGTTTATAGTTTTTTGAGTTGTAATAATTGCACCAACTCTTTGTGAGTTGAGTGTTTGTTTGTCATGTAGTCTCTACTTGTAGTTTCCACTTTTGAGAGTTTAAAAGTCATAGTTGTATTGGTAGTTTTAGGCACTCCGTTTCATGTATGTCTTGTTCAGGCTTGCCACTTTTATACTGAAATTTCTTAGGCCTTATGTGGCTATTATTGGAGATACAGTTTGTGCGCTTGATGTTGCCAGTGTGTTTCTATGTATCTGGATTAATTCGGTGTGGTTACTATGCTTCCATCTATGAATTATCCCTTTATGGGTATTTGTACTTGCCCTTATTGTTTATGGTCTTTTTGTCTAATTTATGAATACAATTATCGCTTTTCTCTTAAAAATAGGTTTGAAAAACTTATTCTCTTAAATAATAATACCAATAGATGATAAATGGGCTTTTTTTTTTGGATGAGATCCAAGGGTGTCCACCGCCGACAGTAGTGACTAATCCCTTTCGCCGCGGGAGCTCTCCAAAGGAGGTAAACAACATTTTTTTCTTTTCTCATAAATAGGCCAATGTGTAATTTGTTGCACCTTTCTAGGTATTTGGTCCACAAATCCAAGCCCAGTACTCAATATTTCTTGAGCCTCTACATCTAGAGGTTGTGCATTACCCACATTTCATTAAATATAGGTCATTGAAATAATCTAACCATAACAAAGGTCATTGTCAATAAATAATACTTAGGGGAGTGTATTCACTTAAGATTTTAAAAGATGTTAAATAAGTTCAAAAGTCCAGGGGTATTCAATCACGACTTTATAGAAGTCTATAAAATTATGGGTGCATTCAATCTAGACTTTTTAAAGTCCATTCAAATTTGAATGTATTCAATCATGACTTTAAAAGACTTCGTAAAAGTTTGAGTGTATTAAAAAAATATCTTTGACTTTAAAGGAAATACAAAAAGTGGTGGATTTTGATTGATCCTAGACTAATTCTAGGCCATCACAAATCTTTACTTCCCCTTAGAGATTTTGATAGATATATTGGTTCTTCTCAAGATATGATTTCACCAGCTCTCCTACAACCATCTTGTTATGACTTTCACCACCACCACTTCTGCCACCATGTTACCACCACCACCACCTTGCCATGGTCATTACCATCACCAAAACCACCACCACCACTAATAGGTTCATAAATATATTCATTCATCCACCAGTCTTACTTAGTTTTTGTAGGAGAAATTGCTTTAAAGAAGACTTATTAATTTATTTTATCTATTTTCAACTTTTCAGAGCACTTAATCGGTTTTAAGTGGAAATACAACTTTTGGGTGGAATTTATATGCAAGGCCAATTGGAGAGTGAAGCTAAGACATTGAATATGCCTCTATAATTTATCTAGAATTTTTGGAGCAGCCAATCATAGCAGTATTTCAAGACAAGGCAGCTTAAGGTGAAATTCGGAAGCATCTGCGTTACTGTGCCACAAATGATATTTGGAGGCCTTTCTTATTTGTCCTTGAGATGGGATACATAGGGTTGGAAATGTAGGACATAGAGCTTCAAGGTACATATTTGTCCAGAATTTATTGAGAGGAGGAATGAGCCCAAAACATTCTTACAAGAAGACTAAAGTGAAGTAATTGTCAAACCGGGCAATCAGCTGTGCAGTCAAGGAATATTAATATTTTTGATAGCTTTCATTGAGAATTGACAATAGGGCCTTAGTCCGTTGGAAAGATAATCTTCTGGGCTTCAATTTAGTGTGGTCAAAGTCTTCATTTCGAGTTGGGAAGCCCAAGTTGTGATGCTTACAAGATTGCTTGGTCATCCATGAGCTATGCATGCATTATGCTTGTTAATGGATCATTTGATTCATCCACAAAACAAGGAAGTGGGAAGAATTGGCTTTTAGTTTGGCATTTCACTTCCTTCTTTTGTGGATGAATCAAATCATCCATTAACAAGCATAATGCATGCATAGCTCATGCATGACCAAGCAACATTGTGAGCATCACAACTTGGTCTTTCCAACTCCAAATGAAAACTTTGACCACACTAAATTGAAGCCCAGAAGATGATCTTTCCAATGGACTAAGGCCCTGTTGCCAATTCGCAGGTATAAAAAATATTAATATTCCTTGATTGTATAGCTGCTGTCCCTGTTTAACAATTACTTCACTGCAGTCTGTTTGTAGACACGTTTTGGGCTCGTTCTTCCTCTCAATAAATTTTGGACAGATATGTACCTTGAAGCTCTATGTCCTATCTTTCCAACTATATGTAGCCCATCTCAAAGACCAATCGGAAAGGCCTCCAAATATCATTTTTGGCACAGTAACGTAGATGCTTCCGAATTTCACCTTAAGCTGCACCTTGTCTTGAAATACTTCTCTGATTGGCTTCTCCAAAAATTCTTTAACATTACATAGGCATATTCAATGTCTTAGCTTCACTATCCAATTGGTCTTGCACATAAATTCCACTAAAAAGTCATATTTCCACTCAGAACCAATTAAGTGCTTCGGAAAGCTGAAAATGGAGAAAATAAAGTAATAAGTCTTCTTTAAAGCAAATTCTCCTTAAAAAACTAAGTAAGAAGGGTGAATAAAAGAATATATTTTTGAACCTATCAACCACCATCGCCACCACCACCACCACCACTGCCACCATCACCCTTACCACCTCTACTACCATCATATTGTAATAGCTATCACCACCATGACATCTACCACCATCATCACCACCTTCCCATGCCCATCAGTACCACACCTTCCACCATTATTGCCGCCACCGCTACTTGACATGATCATTATAACCACTATCCACACCATCATTAATGCCTCTACCATCCCTATCCCCATCACCAACATCAAACATGATGGCTCACCACTATTTTAAATTTATAGAAGTTTATAGAAACCTATCAAATTTTATGACAAGATTCTAACAAATTTGATTAAAATCCATATAAAATTCAATTGTAGTATATGTGGAGTTTATGATAGTCAAGTAATGAATAGAAAGAAGAAGAAAAGGAGAGAAAAAAAAAGAGAGGAGAGAAAGAAGAAGAAAATGAGAGAAGGAAAGTGATAGAGAGGGAGAAAAGAAAAGGGAAGGAAGAGAGAGAGAGAGAGAGAGAGAGAGGGAAGAAATTTTAGACTGATAAACTGCCAAATCCACCGAATCAGGTCGAACATGACTGACCAATTCGGTTATTTTCACTTGATTTTCGATTTCAGTAGGCAAACCAAACCAAACCAAACTGTATAGGGGACTCGAACCCTCAGCGTTCTTATTGGAAAGAATTGCTTCTACTACCCGACTAATCACTTTGTTGTGAAATATAAGTATAACCAAGATATCTAAAAGCTTCATAGAAGAATAAAAAAAAAAATTAGGGTTTCAATTCTAGCACTTCTTTCTCTAGAGCTGCTCTCCCTATTTTTTTCCTCCCCAGATCTTTCTTCTCTTATCCTTTTCTCTCTCTTATCTTCTCCTTCTCCTATCTTTGCATTTGCAGCCACCACACACCATCTCTTCTTCCTTGATGTCGCCACTGCACAGATTTAGCTCTTGAACACACACACACCACACACACACACACACACACACACACACACTCTCTCTCTCTCTCTCTCTCTCTCTCTCTCTCTCTCTCTCCTGGTTTTGTCGTCAGCGAACGGTTCTGACCGAAACCATTGGTTCAACCGACAACCGGCAAACCGACGATGTCGATGTCGGTGGCGGTTTCTCTTGTAGCATTCAGACAACCGTAAATTCAGTAGGAAATTTCTGGCTATCAATTCGGTTACCGAACTGAACCCAGCCTTAGAAAGAATAGTGGCAGACAACTGCTTGGGGAGTTTAGTGGGCTTTGGACTTGGGCTACCAAAATGGTTGGAGGGTAGGTTGGGCCTAAAGGATTGGATTCTATTGAGGGATCCCTCAAATAAATTTGAGGAACACCATTTAGGGTCCCCCCTACGAAATTTTTTTTCAACGAT